TTAAAATACAAGGTAGATGGGTGGGTGGTACCTTGCACACTCATCTCACACACACACACACGAATAAAAAAATTTAAAGAGAAGTAAACACACAAATGAGCACTCTGAAGCCAGCCAGGGAAAGAGTGCACGGACACAAAGGGGAAAGCCCCCAAAGACCCTCCGTGGGAAAGGACTGGCGGGGCTGGGGGGACCAAAGTGACCCAAGCCAGGCATGGGCTTTCTGTCTGTCTGTCTGTCTGCCTGCCTGCCTTTTGTTTTCTTTTTAGTTTTTCAAGATAGGTTCTCTTGCAGCTCAGGCTAGCCTTGAAGTCACTCCTAGCTGAGGTTTGCCTTGATCTCAGTCCTCCTCCCTCCCATGTGCTGGGGTTTCGGGGGTGCACCACCACACCCATCTGGGAAGCACAGCCCCAACTCTGTCCTGTTGTATTCCCCACCTGTGAGACGGATAAGGGACTCAAGGAAGTACCATGGGCCAACTGCTGAAGGAATAGGACTGTCTGGGTAACTGAGTGGGGAAGCTGGCACCCACCCACCCCCATTCCAAGGAGACCTGTGTCTTGTGTTCTCGGGGAAGCTATGGGGTCAGATGGGGACACAAACTGAGTTATAGAAAGGACAGCCCTCGGTGGGAGCAGTGCAGGGAGCCTTGCAAAGTGAGAAGAGAGGGTGTCAGAGTTTGAGAAATGCAGAGGAGCACTGGCAGGCAATCCTTGTGCATGCATGCACACACACTCTCACACACACACAAACACACACAGCACACACACACACAGAGCACATACAGCACACACTCATACACACACACAGCACATACACACACAGAACACACACACAGAACACACACAGCACACACACACAGCACACACACACAGCACACACACAGCACACACACTCACAGAACACACACACACAAAACACACACACAGCACACACACACTCACAGCACACACACACAGCATACACACACAGCACACACACACACAGCACACACACAGCATACACACACAGCACACACACTCACAGCACACACACACACACACACACACACACGGTGGGCACGGGGCTTACACATGGATTGTTGAAAGGAAGGCTCGCAAGAGTGAGCATCTGTGTGTGGGAGAGGGAGACCCAGCAAGAAAGGAAACAGCTGCTGGTTAATTTCCCAGCCCTGCCTCCCCAGCTGTCACTCTTAAGGACCTAAATGCTGATGACATCGTCCCTATGAAGCCTCTGCCTAGACCCGGCTGTCTCAGACAATGAGTAGTAGGGTCTTTTTATCATTAAGACCCCTGCCTGCTGCCCAAATCCTCTTTCCCTTGGGGACAATGTGCCCCTTCTCCCTTCTGAGGACCTGTGTTCTACATGGCTGGCTGGACCGCGCCACCTCCTGGCCAGCCTATGTAGCTTCTAGCAGAAGCTCTTGTCCCCACTCCTTACCAGGTATCTGGTCCCACCACAGCCCACTCACCTGCACGAGTGGCCAGTCCCACCAAGGCCAAGGTAGCCCAGAAGCTGCCCCAGGACCCGGGCTTGCGGTGGCCCTTTCTAAGCATCTTTGTGTTCTGTCCCTAAGTCCACTGCAGGGACAGTCACGTCCAGAGCACCCCAGTCCCATCTTTATATAGGGTCCAGCAAAGGGACAGTACCCTCTTCCCTCCCAGTCTCCCTCCCCTACCAGTCTCTGCCATGGATTGGTTGAAGCTGGCCCCTGCTGTTGCCTAGGCAACTACTTAAGCCAGAGTGTGGCAGCCCCAGAGGCTATTGTGCAGGCCTGGGCCCCCAAGGGGAGAAGATCCGGACACCCTCCTCTCCCACCCCTCCGGACAACCCAGCAAGGCTAGCTGTTCCTCTCTGGGGAAGTTTTAAGCTCTCTGAAGGGCAAGCAAAGGGCTTCAGGACCCCTGGCAGACACCGGCCCCAAAGCCCCAGCCCCCAGGCCCAGCCTCCACCCTGGCACAGAGCACACTTGGCAGTATCCTGGTGAGCCGGCTGCAAAGGGAGAGACGGGAAGAGGCAAGAAAGAGCTGGCTCTGGGTTCTGCCCCTCCCCCACTCCCATTTTAGGGTATGGAGTACAATGGGGATTATTCTCCTGCTGTTTGTTGTAGAAAGTTCCTGTCGTGCTCTGGAGAAGGTGAAGGACCTTTAGGGAACCGCATGGGGACTAACCATCTCCCACCAGGGACACGGCCCTGTTTCCCTACCCAGACATCCCAAGTCTTTAGTTGCGCCTCAAGATTCTCCTCCCTGGAAAGTGTCTTTCTTTCACCAGCTCCTGCCTAGTTTCCAGCCTTCCCTTTCCCAAAGTTCCAAGAAGACGTGTAGCATACCTGTCACTGTAGTCCATGCGTAGGGAAACTGAGGCAGGGAGCTAGATTTCGGTCTCGGACAGTACAGAGGAATGTTCTGACAATAAAGGTAGTAAAGACAGGGAGGGTGGGATCTAGAGCCCCGTGCATGTGTGTGCATGCCTGTATGTTTGTGTGTACATGTGTATTCATATGTGTGTGATGGGTGTGTACGTGTGTGTCTTGCATTTATGTGGGTATGTGTGCTGTTGAGACCTCACTTTGGCATGGAATCAACAGGATTTGTCCCCATTCCTTGTGAGAGAAACTCCCTTGAGGTTGACACATGGAAAAGTCAGTAGATCCCAGGAAATCTGAGTTTCTCAGAGGCCAGATCCTGCTCTGGCTATGTGCTGGCATTTCTTGCCATTGCTCTCTGGATCCCAGGGACCAGCTCCATGCACTGAGTACTGTCTCTTTCTGGTGCAGGGCGACCCAACAGCTTCACCTCCTCCTGGAGCCACAGAGAAAGTAAGAATTGGGTCTGGCACCAACCTTGTCCGGGTTGGCAGAATCAGAGCTGTCCGGCTTAGCGGAAACGCCTCCCGGCTCTCTCATGCCTAGTCTCCCTTGTCCAAATGGACCATCCGTCTCCCACTGGCTGGCTGCCTACCCTTCCTGTAGACTGTACCACACCTAGGCTATGTGAGCCTGTGTGGAACAGGGCAGTCCAGCCTTAGAGGCAGCCTCACTTCTATGCACAATGTCCATCAACAAGCAAGATTGTTATTCAGTAGGCATGCTTCCCGCCCTCTCTTCCTCGGGGACCCTCATCAGTCCCTCTTGATGTCTGACTTACCTACAATGGCATCTTCCATGCTCCACTAAGAACCCAGATTTCTCAGTGACAGGCTCGGACATTATGTTTCCTCGGCAAACCAACTGGTTGTTACAGACACCCCAAGAGAGAGAAGTGGTTGGCATTTCAAGCATGAGGAGCCAGGAGCTGTCGGGCTACCAAGAAGACCTCCAACCCCCCACCTCTGACAGGCTCTTCCCATGATTCTAACTCCCCTCATCCCTGCCTCTCATCTAATGATTTAGAAACTACTTACTGGATGAAGTTTCCATTGCCACAGTGTGTACAGATATATATGCATGTGTGTGTTGTGTATTCCTACATGTCTGCGGTGGGAACATCTTGGGCCAGGATATGTACAGTGAGTGCTCAGCCTGCACAGGTGACAGATGGACAACCCCACCTGTCCTCCACTCCACCACCACTGTGGTCCAGAAGCCCCATCATTCCTTGAGCACAAGTCTGAAGATCTCACAAGCAAGAACAGTCCCCAGAGAGGAGCCAGTGGAGTGTGCTTCGTCTGAGGGACTTGTCTGTGCTCAGCCAGCGCTAGCACAGCCAGGGCATGAATGTCTGAAAGCTAGGGGCAGCTTTTCTGGGAAGCTAAGTCAGCCCCAATAAAATGATCTCCGTGTAGCAAGTTATCTCAAGAGGGTCTAGAAGCAACCAGAAACTTCTACAGTCATGGATGGGGGTGTGGGTGTGGGTGTGAGCTTCAGAAACTATAAGGTGAGGATCACTCTGACCCTGGGCTTGACAGGACCTGGGGGATGTGTGGACCTGAGGCCCACCCTGCCTTTACCTAGCAGCCTTCCCACACCCATCTGTCCATTCACGAATGACTCAGTTCACGGGGGAAGAGAGACTCTTGTGAATTTAGGGTCCAGGCTCAATACACCCAACAGGCGAACTAAAGATAAACAAAAGAAAGGCTGGGTAGGGTGGAAAACAGGAGGGTCGGAAATCTTCATGGTCAGTGTCTGCTACGTAGGGAGCTTAGAGCCAGCCTGGGCTATACCAGACCTATCTCATGTTTCCCTAAAGTCACTCACACGCTATGAGCAGCTCACAGTGTCACAGCTTCTCTCCTGTTCTGCCGTGGAATAGTGCTTTAAGGTATGGTACATTCATTTATGCCGTGGAAACTTTGTATAAGATGCATTCTTTGATACTGCATCTGTTTAACTCTGTGAAGCTGTGTTACTTTGCCTGCCTAAAACACCTGATTGGTCTAATAAAGAGCTCAGCATCCAATAGGTAGTAAAGAGAAAGAACAGGCAGGGCTGGTGGGCAGGGAGTATAAACAGGAGAAATCTAGGCTAAGACAGCCACGGAGTAAGAAGGAAAGAAAGTTATATATAATAGAGAAAGGTTAAAAACCAGGAGACAAAAGGTAGATGGGATAATTTAAGAAAAGCTGGCTAGAAATAAGCCAAGCTAAGGCCGGGCATTCATAAGTAAGAATAACTCTCCATGCATTTATCTGGGAGCTGGGGGTGGGGGCAACTCTGCTGTTCAGCACCCTTGATCAAGTCCTTCACCTGATGGAATGTCCTTCTCCATCCAGCACAGTCAGCCACCTGGTGCACAGCCCTCTCTTCCCTGGAGCCTCAGCTTATAGTGGCCTCGACTCCCTATCACCTCCGATGAGGGAGTGAAGCAGAATAGCCCTGGGGGGAGACAGCAAGAGGAACAAACCTGAGTTCCGATGCACCTGTCGCATCTGCAATCCCCACCAACGGGCTTACCGGCTTACCTTCTCTGATCCTTGGTCTCCTTGTGTGTTAATGCGGGTAGACAGTCAGCTGGTGGGGCTGCCATAGGATGAGTAGTGGAGGGACCAGCACACGTATGACCAGCACAGTGCTAGCCGAAGATGTTGAGGACCACGAGACCAAGGTATGGTGCTGCTTGGTTGATGACACGTTTCGCCTTGCCCGGTTAGGCCACAGCCACCGGCTGTGGGGTGCAGTCACTTCCTCTGCCCCAAAAAGAGGCCACTCGCCGCTGAAGAGGCTCTGTGCCTGGCGATGATTTGGTGGCCTTATCCTACACCCTCTCAGGTACTGTCATTCCTGTGTGACAGGGCTGTCCGTACTGTCCCTCTGGCTGTGGGTCTTGCAGACCTCAGCTCTTGTTTTATGGAACTTAATGCTATTATTGCCAGGCATAGCGTCTCCTGCGGGGTGTGTAGGGTCCTGGGACCCACATGACCCTGAATCTCAGCATTTTCTGTCTAGAAAGCCACACCTTCACCCTGAGGATTCAAAGACAATTTTTAATTTTTTTATGATTTAATATGTATGGGTGCTTTGCCTGCATGTATGTCTGTGAACCATGTCCATGTAGTACTCACAGGGGTGGGAAGAGGACATCGGATCCCCTGGAAATGGAGTTTACAGATGGTTGTGAGCCGCCATGTGAGTGCTGGATACTGAACCCCTGTCTTCTGGAACGGGTCAAGTACTCTTCACTGCTACGCCGTCTCTCCAGTTCCAAAGCAACTTTTAAGTTTTTACTTATTTTTATTTATTTGTGTGTGTGTGTGTGGTGTGTATGAGGTGTGTGAGTGTGTGTGGTGTGTGAGTGTGTATTAGTGTGTGTGTATGTGATGTGTATGTGTGTTAGTGTGTGTGTATGTGGTGTGTGGTGTGTGTGAGTGTTAGTGTGTGTATGGTGTGTGTGTGAGTATTAGTGTGTGTATGTGTATGTGATGTGTGTGTGTTAGTGTGTGTGTGGTGTGTTAGTGTGTGTATGTGTGTATGTGGTGTGTGTGTGAGTGTTAGTGTGTGTGGTGTGTGTGAGTGTTAGTGTGTGTGGTATGTGTGTGAGTGTGTGAGTATTAGTGTGTGTGTATGTGGTGTGTGAGTGTGTGTGTGTGTAGTGTGTTAGTGTGTGTGTATGTGGTGTGTGTGTGTGGTGTGTGAGTGTGTGTGTATGTGGTGTGTGTGGTGTGTGAGTGTGTGTATGTGGGGTGTGTGTTAGTGTGTGTTAGTGTGTGTGTGTGTGTGCGTGTGTGCGTGTGTATGTGTGTTAGTGTAGAAGGTCCCTTTCACAGGGAGAAACCCACGGACCCAGGCGAGACTGGAGTAGCTAAGCTGACTGAAGGCACAGATGACAAGGTGTCCTTAGCCGCTGTCCCCTCCCCCCTCCCGCCTGTCTTTGCCTTGCCCCTGCTCCAAAGGTTCTGGTTATCTGTATGGATCACAGGAGAGCTGGATGGAGAGCGCTGGGCTCTGTCTGAAGAGCACTTAAACTTGCTTACAAAGTTTACATCCCTCAGAAAAAGGAAAAAGGATAGAAATGGAGTAGGCAGCCTTCCCAGCTTCTCAGACATGATTGGCTTTCCCAGCGCCCTGAAGCAGGGCCTGCCTCTAACTCACTCCTGCCTCCTGGTGCAGTGGAAGTCTGCAGGGCCTACCTGTGGCACTTGAATTTATTTTTTAGATTAATTTATTTATTATGTATACAGTGTTCTCTGTCTGCATGTCTGCCTGCAGGCCAGATTGTATTTTAGATGGCATGTGGTTGCTGGGAACTATAATCAGGACCTCTGGAAGAGCAGCCAGTGCTCTTTTAACTGCTGGGCCACCCTCCAGGCCCAGCACTTTCTTTATCTGAGCTGATTTCCCAACACTGTATCTGGGGACCTGTCCTGAGTAGATAGCACCTGCCCCAGTCTCCCTGATGCCAAAGGGGCTGATGGAAGCATGCAGGGTCCATGTGTGGCCACCAGGGGGCAGGCACACAAGGCTTCTGCTGTGAGTATGAGAGCCTTGGGGTCAGATGAGCTGGCTCTAGACCCAGACACGGGATCTACCTTAGGGAGCCAGAAAATGCCTGTCGTTCCCTGCCATACTTCTTGGTGCATTTCCAGAAACTAGACCATTGTGGTATCTTGAATGAGAATGGCCTCTGTTGGCTCATATGTCTGAATGCTTGGTCCCCAGCAAATGGAACTGTTTGGGAAGGATTAGGAGGTGTGGTCTATTGGGGGAGGTGTGTAACCTGGTGTCAGACCAGGCCCAGGCTCTCACTCTCTGCCTGCGGATCAGAATGTAAAGCTCTCAGCTGCTACTCCAGCACCATGCTTGACTCCTCCCGATCATGATGATCATGAACTAAGCCTCTAAAACTGTAAGCAAGCGCCAATGAAATGCTTTCTTTTACAAGAGTTGCTTTGGCCACGGTGTCTTCTCACAGCAATGGAAAAGTGACCAAGACCGCCATGAAGAGTGCCTTCAGGGTAGGTCTCGGGTCTGCACCCCAAGCAGTCCTCCTGGAGTCTGTGTGTCCTGGTGCTCAGGGAAAACCAACCTGGTTACTCTGCATCCAGGTGCAGGGAGCTGCTGGCCACAGATTCCAGCTTCCCCGGAGCGTTGCTGGCACCGGCTGGTGTTTATTTGCCCGTGAATGGTGTTCCTGAGAGCTGCTCGGCTGTACCACGTCCAGGGGGAGGGAGGGTGAGCAACAGCTTGCTGGACCACTGGGTCCTGTGCGCTCCACAGTGCTGGCAATCTGGCCAGCCTTCTCCAGGCACGTGGCTTCCTGCTGCCCTTTGTCCCAACATCCCACCTCCGTCAGGTAGCCTGGACCTCATCCTACGCACCCTTTGTGGCATCTACAGGTAAGACTCCTTTGACCCTGATTCTGGGACCTCTGTAGGGAACAAATCCCTGCCTGCTGCTGCTTTCCTGAGGCTTGGGGCTACCCCCCGCCCAGTTCCTGGACACAAATGTCTTCCTTTCTGACCAGCATTGTGTGGGTGCCTATAGAATCAGCCCCTTGTATCCTTCAGCCTTCCCCAAGAGCCTCAACTCCAGGGTGTGGCTGCCCCCACAGAGTGGGCCAGTTTGCCAGCCCCCTGAGCCGGGCAGGTATCCAGAGCTGAGCCTGCCTTCTTGCCTTCTCACTTACTCCCTTTCCCCCCAAGCACAGGCTTACCCCTTTAAGCAAATCCTGATGCACAGCCTTTTTGTCCTGAAGCCTCCTACCCAGCAGGCTTTCCCTGCTAATACTGTGCCATAGGAGAAGCTGTTTTGTTCCTACTGGATCCACTGGAGACTCAATGGCTGGGGACCTTGCCCTTCCTTCTCTCTCTCTCTCCCACTTCTCCCTCCTCTCCTCCCTCACCCCTACTCTCCCACTCCCTACACCAACAGACTCAGAACTACGGGCGGGAGAAGCGTGGGGACCAGGGTGAGGAGCACAGCTGATGGTGCTGTGGAGACCCCAAGGGAAAGCTGCTGGTGACCTGGGGCCCAGGTCTCGACACTATGGTTCTTGCGGGACCAGAGACAGGTAAAATACTTTCCAATAGGGACAGGGGCATGTCGTGGGGGCGGGGGAGGGTGCCGCTGCTGATAGTGAGCTGAGCGGGTGGTCCTGGGAGGTGGGAAGGAGGGAGGCTCCTCCACTCGTCCTCGGCAGGAAAGAAAAAGCTATGATTTAAATTCTAAAATGACTTGGAGTGTATTTGAGGTGACTACAGGGATCCTCATTCCATACTCGACAATGGTGCCACTTTTGGGATAATCTGGGTCATTTGAGCATCAGTAGTGGTAACCTGGGAGAGGGATGCTCTTGACTTAGGATGGTCGTTCCTGAGAGGGGCTGGCTGTTGAATGGAACCGAGCAGCTGCCGAGAGCCGCCACCGTCAGGGTTACCGGCATCCTCACTAAAGGTGCAGCCACTCCAGTCCCATTCCAGACCCCGTGTGTCCACAACAAGCACAGGGTAGCCGGTTCCCTTAGTGGCGGGGATTATGATGCAGGGGAGGTAGGCTACTGCCAAGGACTATTGATAAGAGAGAGACAGAGTGGAGGGTGTGAGACTCTCGTGGCGACAGAGACTGCACTTGGCTTGAGCTTTCTGTCCCAGGGCTCTGTACAAAGCAGTACTGAATGGAAGAGCCTCAGGGCGAGGCAGGGGATGCTGTCAATCAAGCCCCGATGGGGGAAAGAAAAGATCAAAAAAAAATAATAATAATAACTGCTGTCATTGTCTTTCCATCCTTCCTAGCCGGGCAGCCACGAGTTACCCTGCTGCCAGGGCTCAATGGGAGTGACCTAAGATACCATGATGTGGGCGGCCACAAGCCAGAGAGCCCAGAGAGGTCACCATGTGTGGCTGGTATCATTCCTGTCATCTATTACAGTGTCCTACTGAGCCTGAGCCTGCCTGGTGAGTGGGGAGCCAGGGTCTGGGACTTGAGGCTGAGCCAGAGCCGGGGCCCTCTTCATCCAGTCCAGACTCTCTCGAGATGGCTAAACCACAGAGGATCAGTGGTTGCAGTCTCTGTGTAACCTACCTTGCAGAGTGGAGGCAGAGGATGGGACACTGCGCTGATGTAGGAAAGGCGGTGGCCTTGTTCAGGGGGCATTCCTTAAGTCTAGTAAATAATCCTATACCTGTTCCCACCACACCTCTGCTCTGAAGGGCATAGAACTCCCGAGAAAGACACAGGCTGGACTGCCAGTGTGTGGATGCCTGCCTAGGTGAGACCAACTATGGCCAAGGTGGTCCATGGCCCAGGGTATGACTGGGCAAACCTGAACAGATGGCCAATCTTGCCAGTAAGCTTTGTTGTCATTTGATTTGGTAGTGTGGTTACTGGGGACAGAACCCAGGGCCTGTGGCATGCTAGGCAAGTGATCTGCCACTCAAACTATACTCCCAAGCAGCTGGGGGGCTCTGGTGGCTCAGTTGGTTGGGTATTTGTCTAGTATGCACAAAGTCCCGAGCTGGATCCCCACTCCACATAATCTGGGCATAGTGGTGCACACTTGTAATCTCAGTGCTTGGGATACAGGCAGGAGGACAGAGGTTCAAGGCCCTCCTCAACCCTATGGGAAGTTGGAGACCAACTGGACCTGGGAAGACAGCAACAGGAAGTGTGGGGGCCTAGCAGGCTACCACATGAGTTCCAGACCCACCTGGGCAACTTAGACAGACCCTGTCTCAAACTACAAAGTAAAAGAGAAGGCTACTGGGCTAAGGACCTGCTGTGGTAGTATAGCACTTGCCTGACCCTGGTTCAGCTCCCCGTACTGCAGGAAGAGGTAAAGGGGGGGACTAGAAACAGCACAGCGCTGCCCCCTCGCAATGGCAGGTGGGAGGGACCATGCGGACATCTTGAGAAGCCCACTATTAACACCCTTCTAATGTGACCTCTCTCCCCCCTCCACGACCTGGGTCTCCCTCAGTCAACCTCCTGACCACGGTGGCCCTGGCCCGTCTCGCTGCCAGGACCAGGAAGCCCTCCTACCACTACCTCCTGGCTCTCACAGCTTCAGATATCGTCACGCAAGTGGTCATCGTGTTTGTGGGCTTCCTCCTGCAGGGAGCCGTGCTGGCCCGCCGGGTGCCCCAGGCTGTGGTGCGCACCGCTAACATCCTGGAGTTTGCTGCCAATCACGCCTCAGTGTGGATTGCAGTCTTGCTCACAGTGGACCGCTACAACGCCCTGTGCCGCCCCCTGCGCCATCGGGCCTCCTCATCCCCAGGCAGGACCCACCGCGCCATTGCCGCCGTCTTCAGCACTGCGCTGCTGACTGGCATCCCGTTCTACTGGTGGCTGGATGTGTGGAGGGACGCGGACCCCCCCAGCACTATGGACAAACTCCTCAAGTGGGCCCACTGTCTCGTTGTCTACTTCATCCCCTGCAGTGTCTTCCTGGTCACCAACTCAGCCATCATCCTCCGGCTCCGGAAGAGGAGTCAGAGAGGGCTGCAACCCTGGATGAGCAAGAGCACAGCCATCCTCCTGGGTGTCACCTCCCTCTTTGCCCTCCTTTGGGCACCGCGCATCTGTGTCATGCTGTACCACCTGTATGTGGCCCCCGTTCACCGGGACTGGAGGGTCCACCTGGCCTTGGACGTAGCCAACATGGTGGCCATGCTCAACACAGCTGTCAACTTTGGTCTCTGTTGCTTCATCAGCAAGACTTTCAGGGCCACGGTCCGTCAGGTCATCCGTGACGCCCACGTGCCTTGTACCTCAAAGTCACAGCCGAAGGGCACGGTGGTGGAGCTTGTGTTGAAGTCTGTAGGGGGAGAGTTGTAGAGACAGGGGACCAGGCTAGATATCCCCGAGGGCCACCTGCAAAGAGGCCTTTGCCGTTGATTTGTTTTGATTTTTCAAGAAAGGGTTTCTCTGCGTAGCCCTCGCTGTCCTGGAACTGGCTCTGTAGACCAGGCTGGCCTCAAACTCAGAGGCCCACCTGCCTCTGCCTCCCGAGTGCTGAGATGAAAGAAAGACACGTGCCCCCACTGCCAGCGAGACCTTTGCGATTGTATCCATCAAAACTTCACCAAGTTTGTAATCTGGGGGGGAGAGGAAAAGGCTCCCACTTTGGGTGACTCCGGGTAGAAAGAAGGAATAAAACTAGCCACCTCTAAGTTAGCCTCATCCCAGTTCTCATTTTCTGGGGGAAAGGACAGGGTTCTGCTGGCCCACACATCAGAACAGTGCTGGGGGACCCCTTTGTAAGGGGCCACCTGGCACATACAGGGCAAACGTTGATGTGAGCTGAATGGAATTGATGGATGGATGGATGGATGGATGGATGGATGGATGGATGGATGGATGGATGGACAGACGCACGTATTCATGCGTGAACCTGGCCTGCCTCCCACTTCCTAAATTGGTGGCCTCTTTGGAATCTGATGGTAAAGTTGGAGTCTGAAAATGAAGCTATCAGCAGGGACTCAAGGCCTTTCCTGGGCTGAGGGAGCCAATGATTTTGGCTGAGCAATGGGAGGGGCCTAGATAAGAAATAAAGATCCCAGTGTCTTAATGAGCATGGGTGTCACAGGCCTAACCCAGCCAGGGGGAAGCAATCTGAATTTGATTCTGAATGTCTCTTGCACCAGCTAGGCCCCTCTGATTAGCACTGCCTCCTCCTCTCCTCTCCTGGGCCTCAGCAGAAAACTCAGCAGATGGACAGCCCACCTGCTGCCGGCCTTGGGTAAACATGTTAGGGGCCAGCTGGTGCCCTTTCTGCTTCCCAGGCAGGCTGAGTTGACCTCTCTCCTACATAGGCTGAGCCCCAACTACCTTCACCACCACGTCTGGGTGGTGCAATCTAAAGAGCTGATGGAAGCCAAACACACAGTTTGTGCAGAATAAATGCTCAGTTTCCCCCTTGCCCCGCCCCCTGCCGCCCCAACTTTGAAGAGAGTAGGAGCCTTCAACCACACCCGGAAAGGAGACTACCCCAGAGTTGCCATCCTTACCCCTCAGCCACCCACCATGCTCAATTCCATTAAGCTGGGAAAAAGCAAAAACGTTTCCTAGTGTGCCACAAACATGGGGTGGCCTGCACGACTTGGACTGAGAGATGGTTTCCAGTCTTGTTGTAGCTTTGGTGTACTGGTCTGCTAGGCTGCCGCTCTAGGCCTTTTGGGGATGGGGTGGCGGTGCTTCTGGCTACACCCTGTGACCCTGTGAGAGCGGATGCATGTGTGTTCTAAGACACCAGGTCTGCTTCTGACAAGCACAATGCTGAGTTGAGCAAGAAGGCTAAGAGTCTGGGAGCTGCCTGGGGTGGATGTGCTCTGCCTCCGTGGGCATTGAGCATCAGAGACTCAGGTGTGCGTACCCAGACGTGTGCTGGGTAGGGTGGGTGCATGGGGCTCTGTTCCCTGCTTAGGGCAGAGGGGCACAAGTGCAGACAACAAGGGGAGAGGGGACCCCAAGAAGAATGGATGGCATCTGTCTCAGCTCAGACCAGTTCATCCGCTACATGGAGTCTACGAGGAGAAAGCAATGGTCGCCTTTGCTATTGAGCCAGATGGAATAGTTGCTTATCCTTCCTCCCCTGTGCGGAAACTGTGAAACCCTACAAGGAGGTGCTAGGTTCAGGGACAAGCAATTATCTTCATAGACAGCAATGGCAACTGCACCAGGGGGCTTCTTCCAAATGCCAGGTGCTTCTGTCCCCAGGGAGACCAGAGAAAGCAAATGCTCCCCAATGGCCAGAGAGGTACAGTTGAATCAGGTAGAGATCACACATGGGGACTTTGAGCCACCAGAAATGGAGTGTTAATGCAAAGATGACTCCATTTGGACTCACAGGCTGGCTAACATCTGTGTTGAAGTATCATAACCACTTAGCCTACTGTGGAACGGGAAGCAGAGGGTGGTTAAGTGCAATGTCCAAAGTCCCAGAGCTGGTTCAGAGCAAAGCTAAGACCACCCAGCATGAGCCAAGTGTTCCGAGATTCTGGGGATGGGCATTTCAGGGATGCTTTGCTCTGCTTCTAACTCTCTAGTCCTGGGCTTGACACACTAGGGGCCTAGGATCGTGTTTCTCTTGTAAAACAGAATCCACACTAAGCACTGTGGGACACACAGGTGGTCCCAGTTTCTTAGGAGGCTGAGGCAGGATGCTTTGAGTCCAAGAAGTGGAGACCCACTGGGTACCATCTCCAGACCCTGCCTAAAAATACGTAGAAAATGTGAGGTCAAGGACTTGGCTCAGGGAGTAAAGTGCTTGGCACACAAGCCTGAGTGTAGTGGCATCTCGCTTTGCCGGTGAACTTTCGGTGGTGGCCACATCCTAGGGGCATGGCTCCAGGTGTGCTGATGTGATCCCTTATATGGAAGAGAAGATGCAGTTCCTGCCCTTCCAAAGCTCTCACCACAACCCAAGAGAGCAAGCCAGCCCCTCCTCTTCCTTATAAAGGGTCACATCTGCGGCTGCATACCTGAAGCCACGCCCCTAGGATGTGGCCACCACTTCAAGTTCACTGGCAAAGCAAGATGCCACTACACATGAGAACTAGAGTTTGGGTCCCTGGCACCCAGGTGAGAGGCAGGCAGGCCTGAAAGCCATCTGTGATCTGAACACACAGGAGATGGGAACAGGAACTCTCCAGGGCAAGCTGGAGGACTAGCCTAGACAAACCGCTGAGACTTCATCAATATATAAGGTAGAGAGTGGCTGAGCAGGGACACCCAATGTCACCTTCTAGCATCCGTGTGGATGCACACACACATGCACAGGAATACACACAAGACTGCACATCACACACAATTACACACAAAAGAACGAAAATACGGTTTTCAAAATAAGGAGGAAATGCTTTGGGTCACAACGTCTACCATTTTTGCAGACAGGCAGGCAGAAGTGATGATACAGTGCAATCTCAGGACTGGAGAGACTGGGACAGGGGCATCGAGAGTTCAAGGTCGCCTTCAGCTACGTAGGGAGTTTGAGGCCATCCTGAGCTATGTGAGACCCTACCTCAAATAAATAAATATAAGTTTAAAAATTAATCAGATACCATTTTGTTAAGTGTATCCTTGAAATGTAAATGACAAATGCTATCGAAAATCTGCTGTTAGATGGGCGTGTTGACACACACCTGTAATCCCAGTGCTTGAGAGGCTGAGGCAGGAGGATCATGAGTTTGAGGCCAGCCTGGTTTATACAGCAAAAACAAGCAAACAAATTAAACGCCCAAAACGAGCTGTTCTTGTTTCTTTGTGCACTTTGGTTTAAGGATTCTGGGCATGGGATGGGGTCATTGAAATCTACCCTCACTATGTAACTGAGGACAACCTGAACTTAGGGCAATTCTCCAGCCACAGTTGCCTGAGATCTCCATGTGAGCTGCTATGCCTCCCTTTAAGGATTTTCTTATTGATAAGCTCTCAAGTGGTTCTTAGAGAAGACCTCTCCCTAACAGTTTGCTTGTTCTTCCCTCCCTCCCCCACCCTCAACCCTTACCCCTCCTCCCCCCTCGCTCCCTCATACCTTCGGAAACATCTTGACTGATGGGAATCAGTTTTGGAGTGCTAAAGTCCTTCCTTGGGGTCCTGGCTTCCCAGTGACCGTGTGTCAGTCATGTTGACAATTACTTAGCATCATTAGCCTAGGGGACGGCCACTTGTCAAGGGTCTCCCATTTCTTCCCAGGTACATTTTTAGGAGGGTAGTGCTTGAGACAGGGTTCCTCTATGGATCTCTGGCTGTTCTGAAACTCAATTCCAGCCCAGGTTGGCCTGGAATTCAGGAGTCTCCCTGTCTCCGCCTCCTAAGTACTGGCACAAAAGGCATGGATCAGTTCTCAGCTCTTCCCAAGCCATACAGCTTTTGCTGGTTTGGCTGGAAGTTGACTGGAGAACGATTTTCTAGACCCGTCGTATTCATTTTCTAAGGCTAACATCACAAAGCTGGACAGTCTGGGGCTGGGACAACAGGAGTGAATTTTCCCACAGCTCTGAAGTCCCTTGTCCTTTTGTTTTGTTCTTGAGACAGGGGCTCATGTAGCCCAGGCTGACCCCAAATCCATGGTGTAGTTGAGGATGACCTTTGAACCAGCCAGCATACTCCAGGCTAGCTCGTTCGCCCTTGAGCACCCACACACACCCTACTCCCACTGAAACACGGATCTGGAGCATCAGGAATGCTAGGTGAGTACACCGCCACTGAGCCATATTCTCAGTCCTATTTCTGAACTGAGTCCCTTGGCTGTCAGGTTGCTGTTCTGAAATGACCATGGGGTAGTCTTGGCATGGGAGTATGTTGGGACTGTAATCGCGTTAGGTCTGTCCTGTGACCTCCAGGAGGGGAAGGCTCCAAGGAAAATCCCCACTACCCAACACCCCTGTTATCTCCTCCAGCAGGGGGCGCTGCAGGACCGTCTGGCTGACCCATTTGACTCAAAAGGCAGAGCACGGTTCAACTAGCTGCCTTTTCTTTTTTCTTTTTCTTTTTTTTTTTTTTTTTTTTTTTTTTTTCCCTCAAGATAGGGTTTCTCTGTATTGCTTCGGAGGCTATCCTGGAACTCGCTCTGTAAACCAGGGTGGCCTCGAACTCACACAGATCCGCCTGTCTCTGCCTCCTGAGTGCTAGGATTAAAGGCGGCGTGTGCCACAAACTGAGCACGGATGTCCTTTCATTATCTCTACACTAGCTGGGTCCAGGCCCTCTTGCTGACCTCAGCGATGCTCGGCTTCCTTTCCACCGTGGGGAGTTTGGTCCATCTGGGTCCAGTCCATGTCTCTGGGGTCTCACTTGCCCCAATTCAATCCATCTCCAGCAGGACCCTTACCCCT